ACGTTAGTTATTACTTTATTTAGTTTATTATTACTTATTTTATTTACTAGTATTATTATTAGTGTAGTAGTATTATATTATACGTCTAACTTATACTACTTAATATATATATATATATATAGAGAGAGAGAGAGAGAGAGAGAGAGAGAGAAAGAGAGTGAGGTTATGAACTTAGATATTTGAATAACTAGGGTGATCTCTCATTCTCTCAAAGGTATACTATGTTCTTATCTGTCCTTTTAGTTTTAATCTATGGGTTTTACTTTTTAAAATTTTAGAAAGCTAATAGATTGTATTTCTTTTGGAAATGTATTCAAATTCAAGGTGAAACTTTTATGCACATAATTCAAACTTTTTTTTTTTATGTATTTAAATTTAATGGCTTAAGAAATAGCATTTACTATTTTATGTGATTTAAATTCCCAAATATAATACAAAACTTTATATATGTGTTCATGCTTCTAATATTCATTTGTTAATATTCTAATAATTATTAATTATTTATTTATAACTACCATCCAATGTTTGAAAATTATGTTGTCTTAACCCAAAATCAATAAGAATGCTAGTGGCATTTCTTTCATTTCCCAAAAACTATAAATCTAAGTGCAAAGTTTTATGCTTCAGAAAATTAATTTATGAATAAATTTTAAATTTTCCAAATTTTAAGTTTTAATATTTCATTTTTGACAAATTTTACCTTTTATAGTATTTTAAAACTATTTTAATTATGTTTTAAAAATATAAATTATTTTTGAATCCTTTTATGTTGTAAATTATGGGTTTTAATACTTTTTAATTCTATTAGTGACTACCTAATAACTTTTACAGTATAAAAAGTGCTTTCCTTTCTATAATTGTCAAGGATTATGTTATGACATTTTGGCTTCTTTTCTTTCTATTGTTTTTAAGTGTTTCATAGCATGAATTCAGTTTTGCCTTTTAAGATAAGTAAGAAATAAGTATCCCTATTTTTCTTACCTTGTAATAATTTAAATAATATTGTATTTTTTATTTATTATAAAATTGATTACAATTTTTTTAAAATATTTTTAAGTACATTTTTTTTAATGAAACTACATTATATTGTATTTACTACAAAAATTAAAGTACTAATTTTTAAACTCTTATTTTTAAAATTTCTAATCTGCAAATGGCTACTTTTATTTTGTGGATTATGCATTTTTTTAACTTTGAATTGTAATATATGCCTAGCTCTCCTTTTTAAAAATTTTTAAAACTGACAAAATACCTATGTTTGCAAACTATTTATGTATGCCATTTTATTCATGATTTATTTTCTTTATTGCTAAACTTATAGAAAAAGATAGTATTGTTTATTTTAGTCATTTAAAATTTCAACTCACTAAGCCAACTTTGCTATAAATATGTTGAGATTTAAGTTGTTTTATATTTTGAATTTTGAAATTCAAATGCTTTTACATTTCATTTATGCCCAACATTATTTATTTAAGGAAATTTTAATATATAATAACATAAATTTTAATGGAAATTTCATTCTTTGAAAATAGTTATGACTAATTACCAATTTCTTATAATGGAATTTTAAATCCTTTGCATAATTTATGACGACTTTTCTTAAAAAGTAAGAAATAAGAAACTACAGTGTCTTTCTTTGATTATTTAAATAAATATATACATTTTTATGCTTCTAAAAAATAATGAAGTTCTAAAACTTTTATGTGTAATCTTATGATTTCTTAAGCCTTTAAAATAAAATAAAAATGTTGGACATGCTAGAAAACTGAATATCATTTCTAAAATATTTTTAAATTCTTGATTCTAAATTTTTATGGATTTCAATTGTTGGACATAGTATATGTAGAGATGGCTACAACTAAGTCCAACTATATATTAGTAAATATCTTCTATTAGGAATTTTGTGATATTATTTACATGTTTTCAAAACTTGAAAATAGAAGTCCATGTTATAGAAAATATATGCCATCATTCAATTTTTGATAAATTTCAATGTAATTATCTCTAATTTATTAGACTTTATTTTCATAGACAATTATATTACACGAGATTATCTAAAGTTTCATGCAAGACATGAGCTCTCTACTAGTAACCATTGTTAGCAAATGGTTTATCAGCAATAAATGGATTGCCAACAAAATTGGTATTAATTCAGTTTGGGTTCCAAAAAAATAACAAAATAAATGGGCAAAAACTTATCAAATGCCAAATAAAACTTTGCGAAAAAATATGATTATTTTAGATTTTGACTAAAAAAAAGGCCTAAATAAAAGAGTATAGCAGTATATGTTTCGAGATGAATTTGTCCGGGGTGGGGAAAATAATGAATTACAAGTAAAAGAAAGGAAACTCTTAGTTTGTAATGTATTTAATGAAATATGAGGTTATTGAGATTGCTTTTTAAGCTATAAAACTCTTATCAAACTAAAATTGGCAAAGCCTAAAATGTTTAAGTACAATACCAACTTGTATGACGAGTGTTTTTGAAGATCAAATATAAGTACAAAGTGAAATTTAGAGAGAGAGAGATAGATAGATAGAGAGAGAGTGAGTGGTGTTAATCGAATGAACCAATAAAAAAAAACAAGGGCTTTATGTAAATTTGAAACGGAGGACATTTTATATAAGGAAAAGTATGCAAAGACATTATTTACTTTTTGTTACAAAGATGTTGTAATCAGTTTTTAGAATAATATAATTGTACTATATCTCATTTTTTTTAAAAAATAAATTTTTTTTTAAGATATTTTAAAATAGCTGCAGAATCCTTTTTTATGATGAAAAAGAAAAAAAAAGATACAATGAAACCATTTGCATTCGATACACATACATGGAGGTCACAATTAACTTTGACTATTAAATGTGAGATTACCTTTATTCTATTAACCAAATTCAAAATTCAAAATAAATTTTTTGAACTTTGAAACACTCCTAAACTTTCATACTTTAC